ATTTATTTCCTTGCCCCTGTCTTGCAAGGAAACAAGTCTCAAGGAAGATAGTTGGAAGTACTTCAACCTAAGATACTTAACTCACAGATTAATTTCACATGGGATTCAAACTGAAAATTTCTGGGATACCGTGACAGATAGAAAATTTGTTGTATCTGATATATGAGTAAGTCCAAAGTTGTTCACTTAAAAAACTTTGCATTTAGAGAAGTAAAACTGGAGGGAAGCTCACAGATTTCTTTCAGAGCTTTTAAAAATGAACAATTTAACCAGCAACCATTTTCATGAAGCCTCAGTTTACAATTATACTACTATAGTGTTATTTTCATTTTATTATTGAGTGAAATGGTTCCTTCACACCCATCACATCTGAAATCTATGCCATTTTTCACTGAGACCATCCATATAATTGTTGAGAACTCAACACACCAATAGGCATCAAAACTTTCAGGAAGCCTCCGAAAGCAGATTAGCTGCTGCCAGAATAGAAAAAAAACTTTTTGTAATACCAAAATGAGATTACTTATTGCACACCAAGCACAGAAGTAGCACTTTGTGCAGCCATGCTGAGAAGAACTCACAACACAGGTTGCAAACAATATAGATTTTTTTCATAATGATTCTTGCCTCTATCTACAGAGTAAAATGAACCATTTGCATTTAAATTCACCTTCTGGTTGGCATTTTTCTATAATAGGAACAGATACTTCTGATTGTTCAAAGTGTGATTCCTCTGACCTCCAGTCAAGTCCCTCTTAATATGTTTGTCTTTCTCGTTATCCGCCCCCATTCCTGTCTCCTTCATTCACCCATACCATACTGTCCTCCTGCTGTTAGAACAACTTGTTTGAAAGACTCTTACTCAACTAGCGTAAATTCCCCAACTGCTGGCTTCTTTCCTGATTACTCATTGACTCCACAGCTACTCTGTGGATCATTTAAGGTAGTTAAGTCTGAGATCTGCATAATTCAGTGCGTGACTTCTATCTGATGAGTAGCATGTCACAGGAGCTTTGTCAGAGTTTACGAACAGGGTCCAATAGCTTATTTGTATGTGCTTTTGAAAGATCTGTAGCAGTACTGTAGTTAACATTTTCTGGTTAGCTGAGAAACATTTAAAAAAAAAAAAAATCCCCCAAAACCACTGTTGCAGGCCCTGATAATAAATGAGAAAAAAGCATCTTATCTTCAGATTACCTCCAATCGTTACTGCTCCTGCCGCTTGAGAACAAAGTTTTACTTGAATACAGTCTAAGTGCTTTCCTCATTTCGTTAAAGAGAATTCTTCTCCACCACAATGGTACTTTCCCCAAGCCCATTTAGTTCTCAGCCCATGTTTTTCCTCTGCATTGTTCCTTCAGCTCTTTTTCCTTTTTTTCTACTCAAGGATTTTCTATTCCATTTTTCCTCCAAGTCTAAGTTCTCTCTATGCATTGTCCATGCCCTCCCTTTCTTAATGCATTAGCCACAAAACTGTATTCACCTCCCTAGCCCAAAACTCCCTTCACATTTGATGTGTCTTCTGTTTTCCATGACCTTCTGTTAGGTCTAGCTCAAGTCCTGCTTTTATTTCAGCCAGGCAATTTCCTCCTTATGACCATGATTCCAGAAAGGGGTGTCATGAGGAATGCAAGAGATCCCCTTGCTTTCAGACCAAAGGGTGTGATGACACTGAAACCCTTGTTTGTAAGAAACCCTTTCCACTGTCCACAGAACCTTGAGTCTAATTTTAGCTACAAATATCTAGTAGACTTAACTCAGTAGTTATTACTGATAGTTATCTAAGTATTTTAAAGCAGTTTTATTTGGATCAATAAAAGAACAACAGCTAACAGATTTGTCAGGAATATATCAAGTGCAGTCAAACAAATATCAGCTATAATAGGATAACAGGTCTTGTGGATAGGAGCAGCAAAACAATGTAATTTCAGTTTATCAAGGCTTTGAATGCCATCTAATGTGACAGTTTCACTAAGAGGTTAGGAGATGATGATATACTTAGAAACTGAAGAAACTCTGAAATCGGTGCAAAACTAGTATGAAAATGGTACTCATGGAAGGGATATCGCTGTCAATTTGGAAATACAATCTAAATAGGATTCCACTGGGACCATCCTCCATTCAGTATAAGTCAGTATAATGTTTTAGGACTTGTATGTTGAAATACAGATTGCAGGTAGCAAAGCTGAGATAGATTATTTGTAAGAAGCTAGAGATGAATACTAGAATTCAAAATCATCCCAACAAGTTGGAGAAATGGTTTGAAAAAATAGGAAGTAACTCAGTAAAGGCAAGTTCAAGGCCCTGTGTTCAGGCAGCAATAACGAACATTGCAAATGCAGACAGGAGGTGAATGACAGTGCAGAACTGCTGCAGAAAATAGTTTTGAGATAGGGGAGGCATTGTGAATCATAAGTCAACAACATAATGCCTCTGCAAAAAAGGCAAACATCATACTACAGTGTATAAGCAAAATCATCTGTGAGACTACGGAAATAATGCTTCCACTCTGACACTGGTAAAGCCTCCACTGAAATGGCGTGCTCCACTTTGGACACTGTTTTTAACAAATATGCAGACCACATGGAGAGAAGGCAGAGGACAGCAAAAGGAATGATCAGACATCGAGAATACATGGTCTAAAGAGAAAGCTTAAATCCACTAAGATAGCTTTGCATATGCAAAAATAAAGGGGAGATATGTTCAGGCAAGTATGTGGAAGGTGCAGAAGTACTTCATGTCCACTAGGAACAGGGTAGTAAGTCTCAGACTTGAAGTAAAGAAAGGTAAATACAAACAAGACATGAGGAAAAACTTGCTCATGGTACAGATAGTAAGACACTTCAGACAGAATGCTGAAACCATCCAGAGACCCTATGAAATGATCAGATTTTAGAGAAAGCACAGATGCACATTTGTCAGAAGTCATTTAAATCCAGCTGAGCCTGATATTTGGAAGAAGAGCAGTCTAGATGAGATCCTCCACAAATTCCTTCCAATTCTGTTTTCTAAGGCTTCTCTCTGACCTGATGCACTGGATCAATAAATACTATAGAGCAACTATTACATGGATGACTGGGATGACAGATAATAGAAGTAAGGCATGAGGTATTGTAATTATTAACAGCACGCATATGCATTAATGTAAATGCTTTATGTCAGTGCTTTCTATTGACAGTCACAGCATGAAAAAGAAGCATAAGCCATTTGGAAAAACCTGTTACACTTAGGAAAAGCCCAGAAATTCTTATATGTAATATAGCCATTATGGAAAAAAATGTCCTTAGCAGACCATAGGGGAACTAATTGCTTCCTGTCTTTGCATCAAATCCTCAAGGATCAGACAGTTATGCCAGGCTTTGGCTGAAGGAAGGAGAACAGGACACTCCTAATAGGAGTGTAACATTCAGAATAAAATTCTAATACAGAGCACAGGAAGTCCAACAAAAAAAACCCCTGTAAAATACCATCTTTGATGCTTCCACTTTTCAGATGAATTTTAAAAAGTAAATACTCCACAGGCCCTTCTGACTTCAGCTTGCATCTCCATGGGCAGAAAGCTGTGCCCACACAGACAAAGCAGGATTGGGGATTAACATACAAAGTGCCCTTTGCATGGGTCTCCACAGAGAAAATTTCCAATTGTATACTCTCTTCACAAGTCAGTGCAATTAAAAAAAACAAACCAAAACAAAACAACTGAAAGAACCACCACCTGTAAGATATATTTATCAACCAAAAAAAATATGGTGGTGTAGCCAGATGTAAGTCAAGTCAAATTTCTACACAGAAGCTACAAACTTCTACAGGTACAGAATTTATATTCTACTTTTTCTATTTTGTGTTTGTATACACATACAAATGTACATGTACATATGTACATATCTGCATGTTATAGCCTGTCAGTGTCACCCAACCTATGAAATCTTACAGACAGCTTTTGCTCATAAATCTAGAAGGCACTTTTTCTTTCAGTAGAACAAATCCTTAATCTAGTTTCAAGGAGCTGTAAAAGACAGCTCCTGTGATTCACCCCCTCCCCTCAACAGAAGCACTGCTTGTTAATCCAGCAGGAAATAACATTTGCCAGGATTGACAGCTGTGGATTTGTATTCAATTCCCAAATTAAAAACCAATGACAGGGCCTAGTTCAATGGAGATGTCAAACAAACTAAAGAAAGTAAAAAAACCTGCTGCGTTCTCTGTAAAATACAAACATACATTTTGGATGACAATGCTAAAAACTGGGAAGGAGATATAATGGGATTAAAGCTCTGTGAGAAGTTTCTCCTAAGGGCTTTTTGGTTTTGTTTTTTGTATTTTTTTCCCCCCCTCCAACAACACACACTTTGTATTTTTCCTCTTACGTATTAGGTATTCCTCTTACTCCTAACTAAACCATGTTAAAATCTATATCAATAACCATTTGAAACCCTGCAAAAAAATAGAGTGTGAACATTTTCATAGTCAAATCAGCAAAATCTTCATAAGTAATATTAATTATTGTCCAACTGAAAGAAGGCTTAATTACAGCCCCAATATTATGAAGAAATCTAATGGCACAGGTTCTCATACTTCTGCAAAACTGTGTTAATGGTACATCAGAGCCCACCTTGGGCAGCTTCTGTTGTTAATAAGATAATAATACTGTTAATAATAAGTATCAGAGATGGAAAACGCCTAACACAGTAAAGATGGGCTGTTTTCTAGCACTGTAACAAACTGCTCTGAAGAGCCCAATTCAACTTTTCTCAGTTCTAATAATCTTCATCAGTCTTACTGGGAATTCAATCCCATAATTATGAGTTTTCCATTTCTTAAGTCTCTGTAAATACTCCTCTCGCTTGCTAAAAATTACACCTTTCATATACTTTCAGATGTCAGTGTTCCTCCAACACACTGCTTAAATAAGGAAACAGGGAATATTAATCTACCTGCAGGCCACTTCAGCAATCTGTGAAACAACAAAATGCAAAGCGTTTTAACTTACTGCTGCTTACCTGTAAGAAGTGATCCTCTTTAGCTCTGTAACAGGAACACGATAGCCACACTCTTCTAAGACTTCCCCACATGCAATTTCTTCTAAAGAAAGGCCTGGTTTGTCTACAATGCCAGCACAGAGTTCATAGGTCACTCCTACCAGAGCAGGTAAGGGATCCTCTAGATGAGAGAAGCTCTCCTTGTCCTGATTCTGAAAGACTTGAGGATGATGCCTTTCTACTTCACACATGTAAACAGCTTAAAAACAAAAAAACACAAACAAAAAAGAAAAATAAAGGGGTGTGGTGTGTTAGTTTATTCATATTAAATACAAAAAAGATGGTACACAATTTTTCCCTGGAAATTTATAACCATTGGAATACTTGAGAGTAACAAGGAATTCAACTGTGTTATCTGTTAAAATTGTGACGCACTAAAATTGGAATTTTAGAGAACAAAGGTTCTCTCGCCATTTCTATAAAATTATTCTTTTAACTATTTGTGAAAACATCATTTGGAATGAATTCATGCATACCTTAAAATAAATAAAAGAAAAAAGGAAGTTAGTTCATCCAAGAAGTCTAAGTCCCAGAAGTGCCATACAGCTTCCATTTGTTGGGCAATGCGGATATCAGGATTTAATTTAAACTATGCAGTTATGGTCCAGGAAAGTTGGGTTGCACATTATGTACCATGTGCACAATGATGAGTCTTTCAGCCTGTCAACTCAGCTGTTATTTAGAAAGGGTATGAAAAGCATGTATGTTTGTTTGAAAAAAAAAAAAAAAAAAAAAATCCTTTTGAACATATAGTTCCTTGCACAGATTCCTGTGTGGAGTCTGAAAAAGACTTCTTGAATTAATCTACAAACAGCTGCCACTGTAATGCACCCCTAAAGAAAGTGCAAATGCCAGATTTTAGTCCTTATTTAAGCAAAACCTCTCACTGATGTCAACAGAAATTTTGCCTGAGTGAGAACCGCAGGACTGGATGTTAACACACAAAGAATCACTGTTGACAATTCCAGACCACTGCAACTTTAATTTACAGGTATAATTCCACTTCTTTCTTCTTTGAAATTTCCTCATGTCTAGCCCCTTACTTTTCATGAAAAGTTACAAAGAGGGTGTTATAAAACTATTTTAAAATTTGAAATTACTTTTTGCCATTAAAATATTTTACATGCATATTTTATATGCATGTAACATGGTTTTCAAATGAGCTTATTTTTATTTCCCATTCTAAGTTTTGCAGAACTGGTATATAAAAGAGTTCAAGTTTAATGGACAACTTTTTTTTTTTTTTTCTCCTAGTTACTGGATTTAATTTATTATTTCTTAAAACTGTGGTATATAACAAAATATAGTAGAGAAATGTTGTCGCATAAAAGTAGAATACCACAGTGACTTCTCAAGCGCTTGGTCTCTGAGGAAGAGTCTGCACCCCAGACATCTGTGCTTAGGCTCCTTTTGCAATGTTTCTTGCGACACCTCTGAAGTGTAGATCCATCTATTGTCTAAAACCCAATCTTTCTGCAGAAGTTAAAACTTTCAAAGCTGTTTGTAGTAGGTGTATCTAGGCTGCTGAGATTCAAACAGTTAAGAAAACATGCCTCCATATCTTACATGAAAAACATGACTAGAGCTCAGTTCTCTTTTTAAAATGCAGCATGAAGGCAGCAAAAAAAAAAAATATTCCACGCAGACTCTGAGGGACAGATCCTTGAAGGGTGTCTATTGTCATTATTCCAAAAACTTTTAAAAGCTATGACAATTATCATAAATGACAACTACTTGCAAGATGTCTCTGAGACGAGCCAAATATTCTTAAGGTTTTATTGCTTTTTTAGTACAGACATATCCGTATCAGTAAATACAAAAAGGAACAACATATGCATCCCACTAAAGGACTTGGGCATCAAAATAGGATGCAGGTACCAGTGTGGGGTACAGAAATATGAAACTGTGATTAAAGTAACTCTCTGTTACAAGTCTGTTAAATCCCTGAAACCCATCCTGTCCTTACAGCAGGCACCTGCTGATCTCCTCCTCCCTCAGCACAACTGGATTCCATGTAGATCAAAACCTACATTGCCAGAAGGACCTAATCCAGCAGTGCTCTTCAGAGCAAAGCCCTGCAATATGCCAACACTTAAAGCCCAGTAACAGCTTTTCTCTGTAGATAAGGAAGAAAAGCAGTACCAGCCACTTCTGTAAGAGAATCCAAATATTAGAGCATTCACCAAGCACTTGGAGTATGAATTCAATATCACCAGGCTCACAGTGGTTTAAACTCAAGTCCTCTCACAGATAAGCAAAGCCTAGAAGAACAACCTTCCTGCTAATATCAGGGATCAGATAAGTCCCCATACCTCTTGTGAAGGTGCAAAATTGACTGCACAAGTGATGCACCAGGGGACATAAAGTACCAGATGGAAAAGCAGTCAGTGGCCTATTGGCTAGGGCACACTCTTCAGAGGGAAACCGGAGATTCTCCTCTTCCTCATCACAAGTTGTCAGCTTATTGCAAATGCACAGTTTAGAAAACAGAAACTAGAAGCAAGAGCTCAGGTCCCAGCACCCACCCACAGTCCCCCTGTCTGATTTCTCTCTTGTCTTCCAATGGCTTATGTTACTTTGGTCAGAAACGGCCACGTCATCATCACTGGGCAGTCTCCATCATCAGATGGACAATGCGATGAGCAGCGGCACAGTGAGGACTCAACCATCTAATGCTCATTAAACATCTTGACTAATTACCCCGGGGCCACTCAGCTGTAAGAAGTCTCAGAGTGGAAACTCCAGTAGAATTGATGTACTTGTCTTCTTTTCTGCAAAACTGGGACAAAGGATATATGGCTCAACTAAACTGATCAAATAAGATCATAACTGTTATTCAAAGCAGCCTTGTTAGATGACTCATACAGGGACTTGCTTGCTATCCCTAAGGAGAAGAAAGCAACAGTATGGACTGAGGGGTTAGTGGGGTTTAGCTAACTGGGGAACGTGCTAGCTTTTCTTTAAAATTCTGATTTCTCTTTTGATTGCACCAGTGTTTCATACCTCCTGAAACAGAGCATGGCTTATGATTCCAATCTTTGATACTGTTTATTTTAAGTCAATGCAAAACCAAACAACACAATCCATTGTAAGGTCATTATACTTACATGGGAAAAAACAGGGCACGTGTTCATAGGTACTAACCCTAACTATTTCCAGGAACATATTATCTTATTATATTTGAAAAGTGTGATCAATTGACTACCAAAATAACCATTGCCCAAGACCTTTGCCAATCAGTTGTGGGTAAGGAACTAATATGGAAATTCCTGAGATATACATGTAACTTTTTTTCTCTCTGCTCCTCCCAAATGTGTGATTTCATGATGATCTGATCATGTGTGATCAAGATGATCTAAGTTCACAATACACTGAAATACATGGTTCTGTCTGCCTTACTCTACTTGTGTGCTCCTGCCATGCCTCAAGCCAGCAAGAACTCTTTCAGGCCAGTCAGATAAACTGCCTAAACTGCAAAATTTTCTGTTTGCAGCCATGTAAGACCTCTGCCATGGCTGCATAAGGGCTGGTGCTGCCAAAGGGAATGGGGTGCGAATGTACGTACAGGGAGGGATGACGTCCTTTACAAGCATTACAGACTTCAGTGGGAAAGCCTGATCATGACACCACACCCTAAGGAAAGGCAAGCACATATGTCAACCAGCACATGTGCAGGGGACGTGCCTGGTGAGTGAGTGGCAGCTGTTTGCTCACAAGTAACGAGTTATCACCTTCCTGGTGGGACCCTGATAGGAGCTAGCTATAAGAAAAGTCTCAGCTTTCATTTCTGCTTTGTGGAACAGACACGAAAGGCAAACAATAACCATGGAATGGAAACGTAATTTTATGTATGTATAAAAAATATAGAATAATTACTGATGTGACTACTCTCAGGGCATGGTTGCAAACACTGAACTGCTATGACCGATCACTGTCACTAAGGCCAGCTTCTTCTGAGCAGCTCCAGCCTCTGGAACAGTTTAACTCCAAGTCCAGTCTTTTGAGGCAGATTTGACACTTCCATATGGGTGATGTAATGAACATGTTGCTGTTCAGTACACACACACACACACACACACATATATATATATATATATATATGCATGCACATATATGAAGGCTTCTGCCTAGGATTGCCTCAAAGAGAGCAACAGCTATATTGAGCCGTTTTATTTGACTGGCAAATGAAAGACATTCAATTATTAATAAACAAATAAACACCTTCTCTTTATAATTGTCAGTATAGTGGTTCAAGAGAAGCACACACTGTCAGTGTAACAGTGCTGAATAACACTGAAAAGGCTGTCAATCACTGTCAGTAAGAAAGGACAGCATGACACCACCCTATAAAGTTTCCTATAAAGTCTACCATGAATCGTCTTGAAATGGTCTCTTAGCAACAGTCAGTGAAATATCTTGTGATTTTTTTAAATTAACATGCAGAGAATATGAATTTCATTTTTAACTTCCAGAAAGTAAATATTGCTTTGAATTAAAATAACTGATACAAAAATTCAGATAAAAAAATAGTATATTACCTAAATTCGTAATAAAAACTGGTAAAAGCAAGCTGTCCACATATTGATGAAAAAGCATACAGTCCTGACTTTCCCTCATTTTAAATTCTCAAGTATACAATGCACAATAGCACATTAAAAAACCAAAGGAATATTTAAGACCCCAAAAAAAAAAAAAAAAGTGCTTCTGCACAGAAGCTGCCTACTAAATACTAGACATGTCAAGAAGGAACATCAAATAAAAGCAATCTATTGCATGATCATTGTAGAGCTGTTTGTAATTTCATCCAAGAGGACAATGACTAGCCCAAAAGCAGAATGTAAGGCTACCCTGATCATTCGTTTCATCTGTAATGGAAATTTCCCTGGTTAGAAATTCTGACCAACTGAAAAGGGTGGGCTATCATACAAAGAAACAGAATATAGAACAAAGATTTTATCACCACAGATGCACCAACTTTTAACTGCTAAACCCTTAAAAGCTTGCTCCACTAGAGAGCAAAAGTAAATCTAAAAAAAGAGGATTACCTGGGCGGAACTGCTTCACCACAACAAAGCACTGCCGAGAAGTATTAAAGATCAGGATTGACACACTGAGGAAGAAGATAAAAAACAAAAGATCAATGCTTTATGAAGGATTAACGCAGAACTATTAAACTTACATCTTGTGAATTTATTTTTAACTACATAAATGCATAGAAGATTTATTAAAAAAGTCACAATAAAACAATATCCTTGTCCAAAATCCATCAAGAAGGATAGATAATGGCTCATGTTCCCAAAGCCCATGAGAATTTACCTAAAATTAAGTCACTTTTATACTTTGCCATGCAAAGTAAGCCACCAATCAATTCCTTCTCCCCAACAGAAAAAAAAAAAAAGTCCAACTCTAGGAACACTGCTACTAGATATTAATAACAAGGAAAAAATTCCTTAAAACTGCCTTCTTCCTTTTTACCAGTCCTAGATTAGGATAGCCTAACTTGTCAGCCGAGCCAGAGACTTCTGTATAAGCACAAAGCATCTCCTATCTGTGGCTACTTGCTGAGCGTGGGCCTTAAAACAGACACTGTCCAAGTCCAATTCTGTACACATTTAAGCCAGAAGCGGTTTTAACTACTACCACATTCAGTGGTTTACAAGTCACATTTTAATCTTTCCCCCATCCTCTTTGGTTGTTTGAAATACACGTTGTAGGGAAACCTGACGGGCTGAATATTTGGAGATGCTCGGAAAGTGCGGAGTACTGATGTTCTCTGGAGTACTGATGTTCTCTGTTCACTTAAATTACCCTCAGATTTTACTAGTTAAAAAAGATGCAGACAAAAGTCTCTCTCCTTAGTTGGTAGCCCTGCAAAAACAAGTGTATATTTTGCTCATTACCATGGTAGCATTCTCTCATTTGTTATGCCTCACTGTATGCAATTGGAAAGTCAATTCATTATTCCATGAATTCTACAATAGATTTGACTAACAATGGCATATTTGCAGAGTTGAGTCAACCTTTCAACTTTCCTTGCATATTTATTTTCACTATTTGATTTAATAATGAAGTTTCAAGCTGCCAGAGAAACTGCTATTTGATGATTATTAAAAATAATGTTAATGTTTATTATAATAATATATAAAAACCAAAACAAAAAGGAGAAGTCCAGATGTTAACATTTATATTCATGGTCGCTATTCTCAAAGACCCATACTGCATATTGATGGTTTCCTGCCCCAGAAGATGTCATTTGCAGGCAATTTTAAAGCAAAGGTTTTAGCCTTCAGAGAGGCTGGAGAACATTCACCCTGTTTACTGGCACAGGTGTTCTTTCTGACCTAGCAGTAGAGTATCTGGGAGTTACGGTGTAGGTTGCTAGAAGAAATTAAGTTAAACGACAGCCTACAACATTTTAAAGTTTGGTTAGGTATTATTCTTTGATCTGTTTTCCTCCCACCCCTTTGCCCGACTGTTCCTCTCTCCAAAGTGGTACTGTCTGAGGCTAGACATTGCACTAAATAAAAGGGGAAAAGGATTTACTGCTACTGAACATTTTTGTCCATGGGTCTAAGGATGTTCACTGCCTGAAACTGGAGACAGCAGCAGTCTGAAGTTGAGGTTAAAGAGATGAGTAGAGAATTCCTGAGGCATATAGTTGCCCTTTACCTTTCTTTACATCCACCACCCTGGGCCCAATCTTTCACTTGGCTTGCCTTCTTCAGCACGTCTCATTAAATAACTCATATCAACTCATTAAAAATGGCTCAGCTATTAGACGTTATTTTTTCCTAAGAGTCAATCACTTGAGATTTTTATGGAACAGATGGGAAAATTAAAAACAATCTGTCAGAATTAAGGAACAAGATCAAATTAAGCTGGAAAGGAGTAGCAGCAAGTTATTACAATTGTCTGCTTCTCACAACATCTTGAGATGAGAGGGTACAGAAATGGCACAAATCTGTAGAACTTTCTATTTAATTACTTCTAATTTTCTGAGAGACTGACAATTTTGAACATAAATTTACATTTTTTAACAAACCACAACACGCAAGTTCTAATATTTTTTGTCAGAGTTGGAGAGTCATGGAGGAGAAAGTTCAGAATTACACCTTCTTAGGAGGATAACAACATTACGAATGCCATTTGGTATTTCTTATTCCACAAGAAGCAACGTAACATGAAATATTTCCAAAGATCACTAGGTCTGTAGCTTCTGAAAACCCATTTGAAGCTGAATGCAGGACAGTTAGTTGAATATTACAGAAAGTTAGGGCAAGACTGTTCCATTGAACTAAGTGGAAGGTCCCCTGAGACACTGTTTTCAATGGGTTTCCTTATTGCTGCAACAATTCAAATATGTGGGTTCAGCTGTTTGGTCTGGACTATTAGATAAGGAAAGTATTTTCCTTCTGGAGTTTTAAATCATGCTATGAAGAATTCACTACAAAATTATTTTGAGATTACTATTTTTACAGGTGATACAGGCTACCAAAAAGGACTACTACAAAAGCAAAGTTGTAAATACATCTTTCAGTGGCACCATACCACACGATATTACAAGGGTATTTGATGGATCACAGCAATTCCCTTTAAAATATTACAACCAACCCTATTTTAGAATATTTTATATGCATCTATAAGTTTTAAAGTGATCAGTAAAGAGTAAATATATAAAATAAAAATTAAAACATTCACAATGACTTTTGGGAACATCTCCACAAATAAAAGACACAGAAGTTAACATACAGCTTGGGCTTTGATTATCAGAGAAAGATCACACAGAACCAGTAGATGAGAAAAAAAAGCCAAGCCAAACTTTGTAAAAAAGGCAGGAATCCTAGACAAGAATTTAATCTGAAATGGACACTGAAGGTCCTAATGCAGCAACAGGCTTCCTGTGCCCATGTTCCAAATAGGAGCATAAGACCACTTTTTATTATTTTACAAAGGAGAATACCTAGATGTAAAAGGATCATGACGGATCCAAACTTTGCCTCCATACCTTAAAAACAAGCTATAACACATCTGCACAAATGAATCTCAGCTTAGACCTGCCAACCTTTTCATTTTGGGTTGCAGATTATTACTTTTTACCGTATTCCACAGCTGTACATCTTTGCTGGCTATTCCTCCAGCAGCTGACACTCAGGAAAACTGCTGGTGTAGGAGGAGAGGTCATTAATGCAAACTCAATGCCACTGAGCCACACACCTGCACCTGGGACTCAACTAGCACCCATCACAGCATCACATTCGGTACCTGCCACTGCCAGTGGGCTTCCCGAGAAGAAAACTCTTTGAAATGTGCTATACATGTCATTCCAGAGCTATAATTTGCTTCCATAAGACATAGATCACCTCGGACCAATGAAGAAGATGTCTCCTCTGCACTGCATCTGTCGGTGGCTGTGTTAGGGACTACAACTGGACGGAAAGATAACATATTAAGAGATGACACAGGTTTGTACAGTGTCTTCCAGGGCTGGTGAAGACCACAGGCCTGCTCAGCCTTTAGCCCAAGTCCTCCTTGGCTTCCCCCTGTAGTAGCTCCTGCTCACTTTGTACATATAATACAGGAAACTCTCCCAAAGAAAGCACACACGTAAACAGGTTACTGTGTAGTAATGTAGGGTACTGTGCTTTCTATAAATACAGGAACAATTAGGGTAGCCTTAAAATATTTTAAGAAAGATATGTACCTAAAATGTCCGTAAGACATATCTAGAAAGACCAGCTAACCTGTACGTGAGCTTTTACTGTACTCAGGTTTGCAGTTAAAGTGTGCCTGGTCTTGGTATCAACACAGTATTTTCCTAAAGGGATTCCAACTATTCAGTCAAGGGTCTCATGTAGCATTTAACCATTTAAACTTCAAAGAAAACCCTGACTGAAATACTTAAGTATTAGGATTCTCTAATGGACATTTGGCTTCCCTAAAATGTCTAAGTCAGTGTGTAGAAATTACATATAACTGACCCAAGGACATCTGCAACACAGAAGCCCAGAATCTTAACTCTTCCTCAGCCTTTAAGATTATCATTGATAAAGAATATATCCACCTGAATACAACCTTTACAGTTGAAAAAAACCTCTTATGAGAGTTTAGAAAATGACTTCATTGTGTGCCATTGGCCTAAAAATCCATTTCCAAATCTTTTCCTTCCCACAACATAGTATTATACAACCTGTATTTATTGAACGCACGATAACTGATGCTTTATGACATTCTAGCAGAGCAGACATTTATACAGAAACACTACTACAACTTCACACACTCAAACCTGAGAAAGAAAGGTGATGTTTCTAGGAGCAGTGCAAAAAAACACAGCATTTGACCACAGCAGTTAAGAGCTAAGGGACAGATGAAAACTGACATCCTGTTAAAATGTGCACACACATATGGAGGGACGGAAACTTAATTCATTTGAAATACATCCTAGCAATTAAGATCAGCAAATAAGAATTGCCAAAGGTACAAGAACATGTACTTCTAGAGCTCAAATACTTGAAGGAAAGTTTTGGGGGTGGAGGTTAGGGGTTTGGGGAGATGTGTGTGTGTGGGTAATTGTGCTGCCTTTTTTTTCTCTGAGGGTGTTTTTTGCTTTTTATTGCTGGGAGATTTTTTTTTAGGTAGAAATGTAATTTCAACTTGTTGTCACCAGTTTGGTAATCTTCTGTCTTGATGATTTGTCAGTTGTTGACCTGGACTACAGTTAATCCACAAGCAACTGCTAACACTTACTAATTGCTCTTCACAAGACAAACTTTTAAAATCCTTTAATAGATAAAGATTGATTCAACCTTTCATTATTTTTAGATATGACTTTAATGCACACTTTACAAATGTGAATTTGCAAAACTAAAAAATAATTTTAAAAAAATCACATTCTAGTAATAGCAAAGAAAAGGACAAGATTCTCTTGTGTTTCTGTGAATGATATAAGACTCTCAAGGCTGGAGATGAGGATTTTTAATGATAATCTTGTACTAATACTATAGTATACTAAGTAATTGATGAGGTAATACGGGCAAAGAAACTGACCTTTCTTTAATCATTGTAAAAGTAACTCAGGATCTCCTCCTGGCTAGCATGGGTACGTGTGTGTCA